TTTTGTTAGGAGAGGCTGAGAGAGCTGGGACTGTCCGCCCTGCAGAAGAGCAGACTCAGGAAAATCTCATCACTGTGTATAAATATGCAAAGGGAGGGTGCATAGAAGACCAAGCCAGGCTCTGTCACAGGGCCATTGCTGCTGGCCCTGTCGTGGTGCCCAGTGCCAGAAACAAAGGCAGTGGGGCACAGTCCAAAACACAGGATGTTCCTTCTGAACATGACGAAACACTTTTTTACTGTGAAGGTGACCAGGAGCTGGCACAGGTTACCCAAGGGGATTGTGGAGTCTCCATTCTGGGAGATACTCAAAAGTCATCTGGACATGGTCCTGGGCAACTGGCTCTAGGTGGCTCTGCTTGAGCAGGGGTTTGGACCAGATGACCTCCAGTGATCCTACCTCAGCCATTCTGTGATTTTGTGAAATTTTGTCAGTGTCAGGTAGTGATACTGTGTTTGCAAACAGCTTTCCTGCTAGAGTCTGCAAGGTGCTGAAATTCACCTGTTTGGCTTTGCAGTGTCCCTTCTGAACCCCCCAATTATTTATCTTTCAACTGACATTGTTAAAGAAATTAGGGCAGACTTGTTCTCTCCTTAAACCACCTGTTAATGAAGAATAAGCATAATTTAACCTGAAATAAAAGCAGGTAATATTATGGGAACTTTACCAATATTAGAATTTCAAACATAATCTGATTGTTTTATACCTGTATTACATCCTATATGCTACCTATAAGAAATAAATGTAAATTTCTAAGATGATCATAGCAATACAAAGAACAAATAGTGTTTGGTGGCAGCACATTTCTTTTTCTTAAATGTTCTTTTCATTATGTTAAAATAGAGGTGCAACTCTAATGTGTGATCTAGGGCCATTTCTAGTATTTGCATGGGCAAACAGAACAGATTCTCACTGTCTTCTGAAGGGACAGAAATCCCCAAACACGATCTTGTTAGGCAAAGTTCTGAAAGGCTTATTAGAAACAAACAACTCAGTGTACAGCATGGAACTGAAAAACAAAATTTTGTGGCTTCAACAGAACTTTCTAACTTCGTGAAAAGTCAAAGTTTAACTTTTATTAAAATGTACTTAAACGCTACTGTGGGCAAGTAATACATGCAATACATGCCAGATGTGCTATTAAAAGCTTCAGCATACTAACAAATGTCTGCATCTTGCCATGCATGACAAACTGTTGTTCCCTACTCTAGCACTGGGTCTCTTTTCTCCTTCCCCTGTTGGGAACTGATTCTCAGTCTGGCACAGACCTGACACCTTTGGCTTCTTGGGCAGAGTGAGGCAGGGGATGGTACAAGGCGGGGAGGCAGCTCTGAGGTAGGTCCTGCTGCCTGCCTAGCCATGCTGCACTTGCTGGTGTCGGCTCACAACTCAGATTTTCAGCTGACCTCCAAGGTCAGGGAACAAATGGTGCCTTTCAGCTGCTCGACCAGACAGCAGTGATGCACCTTTGCTGTCCAGGGACCAACAGCAAGCTTGCCTCTAGGCTGTGTCATCAGTGCTAATTTAGCTACACTTAAAGTGCTTGCTAACCCATCATCTGCATAAACAGTATGCATTACCTTGCAGTCACCCATGCAGCCAAATCGCTTGCCTCATGATGCACAAGTGACTTGCCAGGCAGTACCTTATGCAGGCCTATATTATGCAGTAACTAAAAAATTTACTCCTGGACATGGACTTCAATTGCAGCTGTTAATTGGCTGGCATCACAAAAGCCACAGACAGAAAATGTGCCACTGATGCTTATAATGCCTATATTTAGGCCTTCAAGACAATCTCTTTGATTTATATGATAAACCTTTACTTATTTGAGATTTTAGATATCTATTCACTTATTTGAGATATAAACCCATTGCATTTATTTTTTATTTTCAAGCTCATTAAAGCATGAACTACAGAGAACAGAAAGGATGTTTCAGGTCAAAGGAAAGAAGCCTTTTTGTGTGTGGGTAAGCAAGAGAACCGTATATACAATATTCCAGTCTTGTCCTGTATCGTTTGCCTGTATGTTGTTTTATAAGCAACTGTGACCTGAATTTACCTAATCCTGAGGTGCCCTATTATGCTTATTTTGTAGCTATTTGTTGGTACATTCAACCCATTTTCAGTCTTTAGTTGCTGTGTCATTAGAAGAAGTTAATACTTAGGCCAAGGCAAATTGTGCATTTAAGTGGTTTTCTACTTCTAGGAAAATTCTGAGTGTTTAGAGAAGGTTTCTGAAATGATTTATCTGAATTTTACCTGTTGTTAATTACTCAGAAGTAGTGAGGTGCCAGTTATTTTTAACATCACAGGACTTTTTTTTTTTTTTTTTTTCCCCCCCCAAATTGAGGATTGTTTGGGGAACTCTGCACTTGCTCCCCAGGGAATACTCACTACTTTTACTGTGCTGTAGTAATGCGTTTTCTCCTGTTAGGCAAGAGCTATGAATCTGTTTCATCTGTAGGTGGCAGCAATGGTGCCTTTGGAAAACGAACAAGTTCTTCTATTCGTTTCCTGCACAAGCCTATCTTTTTAAAAAGTCCGTTGTTTCTCTTCTAATACAGAAGTTAATAGGCACGTAGTGAAAGTCTGGCTATTATGCTCTAATATGGTATAAGAAAATACGAGTGTATATCCTCTTATCTCTCTCTTTTGTTTTACTTTGTTAAGACAAAATTTTGAGGCGAAAAATGTTCTAAAGTAGATAATGTTACACTACCAGTAAAAAAAAGCAAAAAAAAGAGCTGAGTTTCAATAAACCTGAAAAGAGATTGTTGGTGATATACAATGTGATATATGATGTCACTGTTTGAATTTTTAGCACTCAAGAAATCTTTGAGTACTGGCACTTGGCTTTCTTCCACATTTTAACTGTAAATGTTGAGGATAAATGCCTCTCCACTGTGGCTGTGTAATAGCCTAATAGAACTAAGCACAAGCATGTGATTCTGCAGTAATTAAAACCAACTGAATAGTAGATAGAAAATGTCTTGAGAGACTTATCTTCATAGACATTAGTACATGAAAGTCTTGTTGAGAGGATTTTTAACTGGTAGATTTTAAAGTTATTTTAATGCAATTATAGATGCTATTTATAAAAGTAAGATATGCATATATTTTTTGGTACTTGCAGAATATTTCTTTCTGTTTTGTTGTATTTTTAAGCTTTTTATATGGTACAGAGGTAAGTCAAGAGACCTTAAATCAAACAGAAGTGAAGAAGATTTTGCAGAGAGAAAGGCCATAGGCTACAAGATTCCTACATTAAGAGGCAACAGTGTGTAGAAAATGTAAAAAGTCAGATCAGCAGATTTGTGGGAGATAATTAGAGGCAATGTTGAAGGGACTGGGACATCTCTGTAATGAGGAAAGGCTGAGAGAGCTGTGACTGTCCAGCCTGGAGAAGAGAAGGCTCAGGGGTTCTCATCAATGCCTACAAATACCTGAAGGGTGAGTGCAAAGAAAATGGAGTCAGGCTCTTCTCAGTGGTGCCCAGAGCCAGGACCAGAGTCAATGGGCACCAACTGCTCACAGGAGGTTCCTTCTGAACATCAGGCAACACTTTTTCAGTGTGAGGGTGACCAAGTGCTACACAAGTTACTCAGGGAGGTTGTGTAGTGTCTGTCCTTGGGGATATTAACAAACCATCTGGACTCAGTCCTGGGCAGCCTGTGAGTGGGCCTTCTTGAGCAGGGAGATTGGACCAGATGACCTCCAGCAGTCCCTTCCCAGCTCAGCTGTTCTGTGACTTTGCAAGATTCTCCTAAAAATCAGTATGTTAATGCTGCTCAGAGCATAAATAATTTTGGATTCCCTGGTTGGGTGACCAGGAGTTCTGCTGTAGCAGGGTACCAAGAAGCACTGATGATAGAAAACTGCTGGCAGCTTGTACAGTTCTACAGGAATAATTCATGAAGAAGCAGGGGAATCTATTACACTGAGATGAAGTCATCAACCAATACATTCTTTCAAGTCATGCATTTTCTCGGATAACTTCCCTTAATACCAGTGGCAAAAACATTCCTTGACTGCAAAGCTGAAGTATCAAAAGTAAAGACACACAATAAATCTTCAGAAATTTTTCAGGTCAGCATTTCATCCTGTGTATTTCTCTGCTTCTCCCAGTGAGGACCTTGGTTTCCAATGCCTGAAATAATTCAAAGATAAAATTTTCAGTGTCCTGTTTCAAAAATGAAATGTTTAATGCCCTGTTGACATTAATCAAAGCAGAGAGAAAAGGTCCTTCCTACTTCATTTGGAACCAAATAAAAGGATATGTACTGCATACCAGAGAAAATCTGCCACAATTTAGAAATGTGCTTGCTTTGATGCCAAGTCTAACCAGAAAACAAATTAATTATCCAGCCCGTAATTTAGCTTGTGAGCTGCTTGATTTACACTCTATGAAACAAATATACAAACCTTGCCTCTCTCTCTGTGCTGCAGAGTTTTTGTCATTTTTAAATTATAACAAAGATCATAAGAGTGAATTTGTGATGTGGCTGATTTAAATCTCTAGCCTAGTTGTTATTTGGGCAAATAGCTTGCAAAGCCTATTACAAATTTTAAAAAGCTGTGGTGGAGCTGTAAGAATTTAAAATTATATACCAAATTGAGTATATAATGTATTTATTGCTCTACTGCTAAATTATATATATATTTCTAACTCAGGGAGAGCATATCTCAGATGACCAACATTTTTCATACAGAAAGGAATGATATTAATAATTGACTAAGATCAATTTTATAGGGTTTAAAAGAAACTTATGTTGTACTGGAGAGCGGGTGATTTTCAAATTTGGCCCAGATCCAAAGAGAGGGACAGTCTTGTTAAAAGCTGCTGATTGTAAATAGTCTAGTCCAGTCAATCTGCCACAGTCTCGTCTTGTCTGCACCTACTCTTGCAGTCTCATCCGTCGAGGTTCCAGTGAAGTGAATGTTGTGAAGAACCAGTGGCCAAGTCCATTCCAATGGATCTTTTGCAAGTGGAACAATCAAGTCAGGAGTAAGCAAGACAGGATGGGCATAATGAAACTATTTTGTTTTTTTCTGCAAATATTATAGAGGTTTATGTTGGTGTCAGATGTTTAATTTGCTGCAAAAGCACATAGTAGCCTAATCTGACTTTAAAAGAAATATCGTCCCCAAAAGCTATATTCTGACAGAATGCTTGTATTCATTTGGCCATTTATGGGACAAAACAGGTGTCATTCTAATTGCTGAGCTGCTTCTTCTCTGATGTCCCTGGGATTTTATTGTGGAGCAATATACAACTACATTTTATTGAGGAGCAATATACAACATTTTTAATTAGTGAATTCATGTTGCTCACAGCCATTACAAAGAGTTTGTTGGGCATGCACACAGTAGGCCTGTTATCTTTGAATCATCCCCAAGATGATTCTGCACAGGTGGAAAGGCCTCTGCTGCATTTATTCAGACAGCTGTTATGGCCCCACTGATGTCCTAAGGTGTTTTCCTAATGTGTTGTCTCACTGGAATGAACCATGTGCAGTTGAACCAGGAATAATGCAGTACTGTTTTGTCTTCAGACACTGGGTTTTTTAGCTTTGGAAAATTCACTTGGTCTGTTGATCTGTTGAAATACCATTATTTTCATATCATTCACCTGTTCTTCAGGTGATATGAAAATAATGGTATTTCAAGCACTGCAAGGACTTCTTAGGAGTAGGATGTTTCTGACTTATAGGGGGGAAGCAGGAATTCCCACAAGAAAAGGTAAGCATTGATATTATGGTTGCTATAAAGATAGGATTGTACCTCCTGTCTTCATAGTCTAGAGCTATAAAAGCTATAGGCTGCTCTGGCTGAGGGTGTGCATCATCCTGTGCAGCACAGTCATCGAGACAGAATCACAACACTTGCACCTTGTACCCTGCAGCTACTTTAAACATGAGTAAAAATTTCATGTTGAGTGCCAAGAACTCAGCTGGAGCAGACTCATGCAAACACCTGTAGTTTTACCAGAGGAAAACAATTTTAATCATTTGTCCTTGGAGATGTGCAGACTCTTCATGTATCATTGCACAGAAAAGCTTTTTGTACATTTTTTTAAAGTGCATTGTACTACAGTCTGCAGCTATAGCAAAAAAAAGGTGGTACTTTTTATTTTTAAAAATTTTTTATAGAGTTAATAAACTGTTAATGTATTGAAGGAATTTTATAATCTGTTAAGCTTAATAGTAACTATAGACAGGGACTTCTAAACCAAATTCTTAGAACAGAATTTTTATAATATATTCTCAAGAATGACAGTTCTTTAAAGGTAGCAAATCATTAACTGTGTCACATGGTTTCCATATGAATTTAGTTTCACTTTGTGTAGTATCAATAAGCCCTTTAACTTTCTTTGGATTGCAAGTCTTGTAAAGGTATGGATGGGAAACCTGCAAATACGCAAATCTACAATTTTTTGAAGTGAAAAAACCTCTATCCATGGCCAGTACTAAGGTAAGCCTGCATTTTTTTAAATAGAATTTTAAATGTATAGTGAGAAAGGAAGGATTTGCTAATCACATTTTATTGTTTCTGCTTTATCACAAAACGATTCTGTAAAAGTATTTTAGTTTTTAGGGCAGTTATATTTATGCTGACTATCACTTTACTCTTCTTGCTTCTGTCATGTTAGATCTCATATGTTTAATAAGACTGAAGACAATATAGTTCTGAGTGATACAAGACACTCTCTCCTGTGGCACTTAATTGAACTCCACCTTGTACATGAGACCACAATGCTCTTTGGAGTGCCATCATGCATAAAATATGGGGGATATTAAAGGCTGAGATCCTCAACAGTGATTTCATCCAAGAGCAGGTGCACCTGTGAGCAGGCATTGGTGCTTGCACTTGGAACTGACATTTGTCGGTATGGATTTGTGAGTCTCTGGTAGCATTTTTTTTAGGTTGCCATGAGCAAAATGTAAATCCTGTGTCTTACCAGCCATTCCAAGGCTGTTTCAAGACTAGATTCCTTATTCAAGATAATTATGAGACAGTAAGCAGCTGCCATGCTTGGTGTGGCTCTTCATTTATCTCAGCTTACCTGATAGCTTCATATTACCACCAAGATGTCCAGACAGATCTGCAGACTGCTGGCATGGCAGCAGTTTGGATAGTAGGCTTGCCGGAGGTAGAAATCACCTGGCGCACAGCTGCTCTTCTTGCTGTTGTTTCAGAGGAGTCTGGACATAGCCTATAAAACTTTCTTTCTTATGAAGTGCTCAGATACAAAAGGATGGGGAGGCTGTAAAGAAAGATGAATCCAGTTACCTTTTTTGTTTGTTTCAGGTGCAAAATTAGAGGCAACTCCTTGCCACTGGAATATCAAGTACAGTATTACTCATTAAATGTGAACCTTGATATACTGCTCACTTTGGCCATAAATTGCCCTCCAAAGAACTTTCTGTTAGAATCCAGTTATTGACTAACTAACCCTCTACTGTTGTGCTTCCTCAGCAGTCAGATAGTGAACCTGGTTTTTTTGTTTGGTTTGGTTTGGTTTGGTTTTATGTTTTGTTTTGGTTTTAATCTCTTCTAAAAGCAATGCATAATATTCTTGTTACAAAAAAGGGTACAGCTTGACAAAGGTGGTATGTCAACCTGCAGAATGACATGATGTTATGTAGAGTAAATACAGTCTCCTTTGGAGTTTTCATGAATGAACACTAGTGATAAACTTGTTGGTTCCTACACAAGTTTTCAGATATAAAACATTTCAAAGAGTCACAGAACAGCTGAGGTTGGATGGGACCTCTGGAGATGATCCAGTCCAACCTCCCTGTTAGTATAGGTTCACCTGGAACAGATTGCACAGAATTGCATCTAGATGGGAATTGAATACCTCCATAGAAGGAGACTCCACAACCTCTGGACAGCTTGTTTTAGTGGTTTTTCACCCTTAAAATCTTACCTTATATTCAAATGGAATTTCTGGTGTTTCAGTTTGTGCTTGTAGATCCTTGTCCTGTTGCTGGGCACCGCTGAAAAGATCTGGCTCCATCCTCTTGACACCTGGCCTTAAGATATTTGTATGCATTAATAAGATCCCCTCTCAGTTGTCTCTTTTCCAGCCTGAACAAGCCCAACTCTCTCAGCTGTTCCTCATGAAAGAGTTGCTCCAGGCCCCTAATCATCTTCATAACCTTCTGCTGGACCCTCTCCAGTAGTTCCTTGTCATTATTAAACTGGGCAGTTCAGAACTGGACATGGTACTCCAGCTGCAGCCTCACCAGGGCCAAGTAGAAGTGTAGAATAACCTGCCTCAACCTGCTGGCCACACTCTTTGTAGTGCACCCAGGATGCCATTGGCCACTTTGGCCACACAGACATGTTGCTGGCTCATGGTTAACTTGTCTATTTGTGATTGTAAACACAAAGTTTCATTTATAGTGGACTTTGCAGTGAAGTCCACTTCAGAGAATCTAAATGTGAATTGAATATAAACTGCATTAGCGATTTGAAAGACATTAGTGGTATTTTATTGTAGGGGATAGGAAAGAAGAGTCTAAGGATTCCAGCTATCCCAGCTGAAAGATCGCCTGGGCCAGGACATGAAACCTAAGTAGGAGATAGAATGAGAGGCTAAAAAAAGCTAAGGCCTAGATCCAAAAAAATAATGTTTAGACACTCAGCACCTTTTCAGGCTGTTATGTTTCCACTTGTCTTCATTAGGAAATTAGGAGTTTCAATTCTCTTTTTTGGTTTTGTACCTAGGTCACAGCACAGACAAGCCCAGTCAACACAAGCAAAGAATAGTCATTACATTTGTTCATGAGTTATTAACAAATTCTCTCATTTAGTTCCTTTCTGGCAGTGTGCCTGAATTCACAAAAATCCAGAGCGACCTGCCTACACATGCTCTTCCCCTGATCCAAGATCCCTGGTGCAGCTGTTCCCCATGTATTTGCTGCTGTTTGGCACTGGCACCAGCCCAAACCCAGTGGGGTTGGCATGTTCTACATCCCATCCTTTGTGTGCCAGCATCTTTTTTCGAAGACATGTAAATGAAATAAGGGATTTTGTCATTTTAATTTTCAGTTGAACATGAATGAGACAAAGAATGTTCTGCCATATAGCTTTTCTGTTTCATCTGGCAAATACCAAAGATCCATGGAGGAAAAATGTGTAAGGACTACCCAAAGAAGTCACAAGAATCCTTGCAGTTTGGGCAGTGTAAATGTAGTTCAAACTGCAAATTAATTCTATTTGTAGTGGACTACGTAGTTAGATCATCTGTGTGTGGCTACTACTCACACAGCTTGAAAGACAATTCTCAAAGAGGTGTAGACTGCTGCAGATCAGGTCATTACAAGCCTCTTTAACAGAAGAGCTGCAGTCCTGTTCAGCACTTTCTTCCTTCATATGGAAAACCAAGCAAGAATGATAAAACCATTAGATGTATGCACACAAATACAATAACACAGTTGGAAATTGCAGAGCAATGTGTACTCTGATGCAATTGTATGTACTCAAGACAGGAGTTTTTTCAATGTTTTGTGCTGTGCACAGTAAAGGAGAAGAGCTCAGAAGTTAAGAAAGTTCTGGGAAGGTCTCAATCTTTTTCCCATAAACTGCTTTTAAAACTTGCTTAGTGTTTTGCAACTGTTGGGAATTGCCTCCACGGCTGCCTGAGTGAAGAATTACTGGTTGGGAGAGTGAGTGACCTCAGCAGGTTCAGAGATGCACCTCTCTTGGCTTTACTGTTCACTGATATCTCGTTACATCCTGCATTTTGTACTTACCTGTTTAAATGGTTGTGAGAATTTAAAAGATTTGATGTATGATACTTTAAATGAGGAAGATAGTGCTACTGCTATTCTTTATTTTTTCTTCTTCTTTTTAGGAACCAGTAATGAAGAATGACTCCACCAATTAAAAAGACAATTTACATTTATCTTTTCCAGAATAGATATGTATCAACAAAGTTAACAATATTTAGATCAAAAACACAGAAAAATGCAAGTCCCCTTTCCATAATATATAGAACCCTATGACCAGGTGGCATCATCAGTAAAAAGACTATTTTAGTAAAGCATTTAGATTCCTTTACATGCAGTGAGGAGAGAATGATAAGTGGCAGTCTAACACATGATGAAATTTACTAAGAAGAATTTTGTTTTTTTAGTTGGTGGAATTATAGTTTATGTAGTTGATATTGGAGTGGACTTTTGGGTAGCTAGTAAATATTTCTGTCAAGGACAATATTCTTGGAGTATATTGATACTGTGTTTTAGAGGCCTTTCATCATTAGTAACTCAGATATTTAGTTATGAATGGTTTAAAAACGATTGGGAAGGTACTGATACTGGGAAGCTGAAGTGGATTTTTCTAGTTCATCTCTTTCACTGTGGAATTTTTATAAGGTAAGTAAACTTTAAAATTTATCTTAAAATGAGAAACCATGTTCCTTTAAGACAGTTATTAAGAAATGCTTAGTATGGCTTCAGGGACAAGACCAATTCTGACCTTAACAATTACTGCTCCATGAAAGCAAGTAGATTTTTGTCTGCTTATACCAGGGTAAATTTTGTCAGGTTTTGATGCACCTGTAGATCTTTTATTTGCTTGTAAGTAATAATTTTTATCATTCACAACCCAATTCTGTTTGATTGATCAGCCTTTTGATAAGGCATATGTAATAAAACTGCTTGCTTTATAGTGTAGTACTGTTGTAACTGCTAAATATAAGCTTTCAAAGTGATGTTATGTACACTCAACAGCTGAGACATCTGAAGTAAGAGGTAATTTTTGAACCTGAGAATCTAATAGTATGTGGAAAAACAAGCAAAATTCAGTAGAGAAATGAAGAGAATGTAAGAGTACTTGCAGCAGTACTTCTGCAGGGACTGAGTTACTGGTGATAGGAATCTTTGCTTAACTCTAAGGTAACAACCTTAACTTTAAGGTAATCCACAAAACTCTTGGACTGACCTTAACTCATACCCTTTCCTGAATGAATACCTCTTACTGTGAATTTCTATAGCTTTTGAATCTTCTTTCCCAGAATTAGTCCCATCTTCTCTCAGTGGCTTATCATGTTGCAAACATTATTTTGCCCTTTGCACAGACAATGCTGTCTACTTGATTGCCTGTTCTTTGTTGCACAAATGATATTTTCTGCTATGCTACCACTTACACCTGGAAAACTTCCAGGATGATACGTATAAATTACAAAGTTCTTTCAGCCACTCCTCACAATTCAGCAGGGTGATAATGCATACTGTAAAGTATAAACTGATAACAACAAACTGGCATCTGTGCTTGTACCTTTGTTATCAGCTACTACATCCTTCTTACTGTATGTGTTTTCTTTGGTGTATCAAGGTACAACTCTCTCATGTCCTACCTCTTAGTCATCTGATTTATGCAGTTAATTTAGACAATGAGTCTCTCAGGTTTATCCCTACAGTCAATGGATAAAAAAAGATTCTGTCAGGAGTCAGGTCATACTTGGCAAGATGAGCTTCTCCAGAAGGTCATTTGTGGCAGGAACCTGTATTCTTCACTAACTACAGATGAAAATGGGACCCTCCCCAGTAAATATGTCTTGGCCAGTGAATTTAGGATGCTTGAACTGGGAAAATTCAAATTATCTTCCTTCCTTTCTTCCCTTCTATCTTTGCTTCTTCCATTTCTCATATGCCTTTTACTTGCTCCATATTTGAACCAGGGAACTTAGACTCATAGAATGGTTTGGTTTGGAAGGGATCTGGGAAGATGATCTCACTCCAACCTCTCTACCAGGGGCAGGGACACCTTCCACTAGACCAGGTTGCTCAAAGCCCCATCCAGCCTGGCCTTGGACACTTCAAGGGGTGGGGCATCCACAACTTCTCTGGGCAACCTGTGCCAGTGCCTTGCCACCCTCACAAGAAAGAGTTTCATCCTAATATCTCGTGCTAACCTACCCTCTTTCAGCTTGAAGCCATTTTTCCTTGTCCTGTCACTACATACCCTTGTACAGAGTCCCTCTCCAGCTTTCTTCTTGGCTCCCTATAGGTACTGGTGACTTACAAGCTGGTGCCCTTTAGATACTGGAACTTTGTCATGTCTGTACAGTGCACAGCACAATGGGAATCAGTTTTCATTATGTTATTACACTGCCAGTGCTAAGTAATAAATCATATATGTGTATACACTTCTGTATATTCATATATATATTAAAAAAAGAGAGAAATAAAATAAAACCATTTCATATCTAATAAGGCTTTAGTTTCTTATAACGAAAAGAGTGTATACCTGCAATTGTATTTTATATGAAATATTATTCTCTGCAAGGAGACCTTATGAAGTTGGTAGAGTATATATTAACTATGCCGACTAAAATGATTTTCAGCCTGACCAATTTAAATGATTCACACAGAAGTTGGAAGAATTGAGAACAGTCTGTGACATAACAGATAACAAGATAGTAACACACTCAGGGAATGTGGGAAAATAGGACACTTCCCTAGGGCACCATATGGATTCTGGAGCCATCTGATGTGTAGCAGTTTGCAGCATCAGTCAAGGACACACCTGTGGGAGACTAAATTTTAGCAATTCCTAACCTTTGCTCTCAGAATAGAAGGCTGTACAGGCAGCAGCCATTGTGATACTGGCAACTGCTATTATGTCTCTTGATCCTTAAAGGTAGCATCAGGATGCCCTGATGTTCTGAAAAGGAGCAGATGGAAGATTTTCTGATGTATTTGTAAAGATTAATTCTAAATCCATGAGGCATGAGAGTAAATGTGAGTGCTTTGCTAAACCTGAGATTATTTAATTACGTGTTTTTAAAAGAGAATGAGAAGAATTCAGAGCCAAGATGGATGATGTTCAGTTAATACATGGTGCTGGGCTGCAGTGTGTGCCCTGCTCTGAATGAGTACCAGCCTGCAGCAGTGAGCACACATGTGGGAGCTGCATCCAGGTAAAGGAACTACTCTGCATAGTGGCAGAACTCTGGGAGGAGGTGAGTAGGTTGAGGGAGAGGGAGACAGAGACTAATAGAATCACACCTGGCCCTCCCTGAGACAGGCCCAACAGTCACAGGACATGATACGGACAATTCCCTATCCTCTCTCCACCTGGCTGAGCACAATGACTTTAGGATGGGGGCAATGGCAGCAAGTTCCTTCCCGGGTGTGTCTCCTCTGTGACTGCCTTCACAGGTGCCCTGCCACAATAGGTGTGAGGCTCTGCAAGTGGAACTGAATAATGACTGAACAAGTATGATGGTTCATCCAGCCTCGAGGTGTAACTTAAGGTTATGTTACCTTACACACCATGTCAAACTTTTATTGCTCTCTACAACTGAAAGCAGGCTGTAGTGAGCTGGGGGTGAATCTCTTCCCTCAAGTAACAAGTGATAGGATGAGAAGAAAGGAAACAGCCTCAACTTGTGCCAGGAAGGTTTAGATTGGATATTAGGAAAAATTTCATCACTGAAAGGTTTGACAAGCATTGAAGCAGGCTGCCCAGAGAAGTGGTGATGTCACCAACCATGAAGGTATTTAAAAGATATGTAGGTGTGGCACTTAAGGGCATAGTTTGGTGGTGGATATGGTAGTGCTAGAGCAATGGCTGGACTCAATGGTCTCAAAGTCTTTTCTAATCTAAACTATTCTATGATTCTTTGTGTTTGGTCACATTTTCTTAATAAAAATTTACTGACCTAACTATTGACTTAGTTGCATCAGTTTTGTGGATTTAATCCAAGTATTTTCATACTTAGAAGGTGGTGAAGTTTAGTATGCAACAGAGATTATTTTTCCTTTGATTAAGGATTTATATGATTTATACGATGCTGAATATTGTGGCAGCGTGACCAGAATTTAGACAGGACAATCGTTATTGCCAGGCTGCTCACACCCTGCCTGTATGAACTTTTAAATGGCACCCAAATCTTCATCAGTGTAGTGTGATGAGATGGGATGTGTCGTGTAATACTGGGATTGTGTTGCAAAGTACTCCGTGGAAATCTGAGGGGAAGCATGTGATATGGAAACATTGGCAAGGCAGCTTGCCTGTCACATGTGAAGGCTGTGAAGCTGTGAAGCAACAAAACCAAATAGCTGTCACCTCTGTGAATTCTCAGTCAGAGACAAAGCCTTCCTAATTTTACAGGAGATAAGGAGCAAATTTCATCCCTTATGAAATCATGATGAAAATGTAGGAGCATCTCAAGAACAGAGAGATGGTGGAGCTGTGTTTGCATGAGCTTTTATAACAAGGAGGAGCCCTATCATCTGTGTTCTCCACAAAGCAATACTACAAAGGCAGAGACCTTTTTTTTCCCTGTCAAAGTGAATATGATATTTAGAAACACGGGTGATTATTTACCATTCACATATGACAATTCCAGTTATAAAGAAATTGTGGGTTTTTACTCTGTTGTCTTCCAAATAGCTTATATACCTTGAATTAATGAAAAACATATTCTTTGAAATGAATTTAGAGGAAGAAAAAATGGTAAAACTGCATTTGTCTATATTACTGACATACCCATTTCACCATCAGTTTAAGATGTACATCTACTTAAAATACATAACTAATCCAATACTTTTAGTTAATGTCTTTTTATTACAGTTGAAGTACCTTTTTTGAAAGACTTTTTACAGTTTATAAATATTGAAGCACAGAGCTTCTATAGCAATAGATATAAGAAAAGAGATTATGGGAATATAATTATGATAGGGTCAGAGAAGGCGCAGGGTGTAGGTGAGCCATGGGCATGATAAAGGAGAAAATTTGAACCTGACTTACTCTTTAGTATGGACTGAACTTTACCTTAGTCTGGAAAGGCAGTTGTCCAATACTAGGCCTAAAGGTTGGCTATGAATGTCCTTCTATTGCATGCCAGATGGGCAGATGAAAATGGAAGTGTAAGCTCAAAATACTTTTAAAAGATGAAAAATTTCTCACAGTGAATTACAGTAAGTGACAAAGGCAGATGGAACTCAGAGAATGTCACTGGGCATAATATACAGTTGAAGAGCAACAGAAATATTTTGACTTTTCTAGAGAAAACCAACGTATTATATACAGTCAGGAGTATACTTCATGGTATACTATAGTATACCATCTTATAACAAAATAAACCTAGTATACCATGCTCAGAAGGAATGCACTTTGAAAACTGACAAGTGATTTCAGGTGTGCATCCAGCTAAAATATTCCTTTTACAACATGCCCTGCATATCACCTGCCTTCTCAGCTGTGAGCTCTGCAGCTCAAAATTTGTGCAGCTTGTTTCCACTTCTTGCTGCTTGGTCAAACATAGGCTCTGGTGAGTGAGTCTGTGGACAAGTAGTGGATCAGTCTACCCAATTGTTTTTTCTTGAAAACATTGCAAATTTTCCACATGTTTACATCTCAGATGAGAGCCACATGTTTTGGAATACTAATTGTTTTATAAACGGAAAAAGCTATAGATGCCTTGCCAAACAGTTCAGTTCTTTGTGTATGAGTGATTATTTGGAGAGAAGTAAGAAAAACACACAAAAACATAAAAGTAGAAAAGAGTTTCCACTGGGAGTAAATAATGGATCTAGAGCCAGCTCATGAAATCAAGAATCAGCCTGAATGGCAGGGATGCAGTTTATGAATCTCTGCAAGGAGAAGAGCAAAGGCTTTTTCCCTAAGGCTCTTTAATAGTAACACAGCTGCTCTACACCTACTCCTACCTATGCTCCCATGTTGCGGTTCTCACTTGTATGGCCAACATGCTTTAACATACCAGGGAATAAGTTATGAATCCTCCAGCATGCACTTAACCAAGGACCTGCCAATCCCAGCTGTCTTGCTTGTAGCTGTGGAAGAACCCCTGACACTGTCTCCCCTGTGGTCAAAGGATTTGGTCTTTAAGGGTCTTTAAAGGTGCTGAAGGTGTTAAACTTGTAAGCCCTGAAGGAGTCAGGAATTCTTCCTAGCTCCCTTTGTAAGCAGAAGGGGACTGTGATCCAGTGCTATATCGGGATGAGATAATCCTGTGAGATCTGGGTGTCTAAGGATTTGCTGCCCTCTGTTCCCTACACAGGGGAAATGCAATGCACGGATTTCATTAGGCTCATAGTCTCTATGATCCTGTGGACGGTTAGGGAATTGGGAATCTGCACTTTAGCATGAATCTTGTAATCATGTAAGAGGCAGCCTTAGGAAAAAGAAGTAGGAGACAAGCTAAGGCATAGGATCTTGCCTTTCTCAGCCTGTACATTATCAGGCTTGTACAACTGTCTAAGATAACCAGGTAATGGTCTATGGTGTTCTCCTTAATTTCTCAAGAAAATAGATCCAAATGAATGATAAAATTGTCATAATCTATTTACTAAACTCAATTATTCTTTTGAAGGGGAAAGTCTTTAGTAGTGTTCATAATACTAGAAAAATTGGCTGAATAACAGTGAATTTTCTTAAAAAAGGACTGCTTCTCCTGTCCTTTCCTGCTGGTTATAGTCAGAATGTGTTCATTGGAAAAGAATATTGGAAGCTTAAGACATCTGGGAACTAAATAGAAAAAAATAGGCTTGAAAGTGGTGTCTGAAGGCTGCTATGATCAAAATCCTGCTTATGGATTTATATGGATTTATATACCTATAAAGCCAAGAACTTAGAATAGTGACATTCTAGCAGTTGATTCCAAGAATCATTATTTGTCTAGATCTATTTATTACAGGAAAATAAAAAATACTTCTATGCATAAAAATCTTCAGTAATAATAATAATAATAATACATTTAAAATTGTTAATGCACCTATTTCTTATTTCCTATTCCTTCTTTCCTATGTTTTGCTCACCTTTCCTTTGCTCTTCTGGGCCCTAAACAGTTTCATTCTGGTGCATGGTGGGCTTATGGGAGCTACCAGTGTCTGGAGTCTTGCAGGAGGAACCATGATGTTCTTTTTGATGGTTTCTTCTTCAGCACTCTTGGGATTTGGTATAGAACTTTTTTTTAATGTTAGCACAGTTTTAGACTTTCCTTTCTCTTCAGTTCTCTGCAGCTTCATTTTACATCCAAACTTAGTATCTATGGTGCCTTTTATGCATGTTAGATACAACTTCTTTGTTCTTTTTATTATCCCTAAAATTAGTTTCATCCAGCTCCAGGTCTGTATTCTTATAACTAACTAGAGGCAAGTTCTTTATAGCCATGGAGTCTCCGGTGTCAAGTCATCCCTTATCATCCCATACATGTACTTCTCAACACTATTCTGTGTCTCCACATCTCAGGATCTCAGCTGTAGTAGTAGGACTAGATTTCTCTATCCTACATCATTACGTATGTCATAAATATCTCATTCAATACTGAATATCTGCTTGTTGTTGTTACCTTTATAAAACTATGACTGTAGAACACAAAAAAAAAAAAAAAGAAAAAAGTGAAATGAATTATCCACCTGATCAATTATAAGAAATCACCAATTTTTCTGCAGAAAACTCAAGTTAAACCACGTAATAAATACAGTGTCATACACAGGTCAAGAAAATTTCAAACAGAGCAAGCCTGGCAAGCCTCAGTTCTGAGGCCTTGCTAAGCTTATGCCACGTTACCAGCAATGACAGCGCCTATTGCAGTGCCACAGTTATAAGGCTTAGTCTACAATCTGCCCAGCCAGTGTTAATGACCACTTGGAAGTCAAGTTACCAGCAGAAGAGAGCAAAGCATTCCTTTGCTTCAAGACAGCATTTACATGCATACTAACAGGATACTTCTCCCTGCTGTCATTTGTTTACTAGTTCCAAAAGAGTCTTTGTTTGCCGCTGAACAGTTCAACTGGAAAGAGGTCTTTAGCTGTGAAACCCACTTCTGCAATTACCCCCTTTAATTTATTACAGAAAAGAGCATTTCCTACCTTTTTGACTTCCAAAGCAGAACCTAACAAAATAAAGCTTGTAATCTTTATTCAGACAAGTCTGATTCTGTTCTAGTAGTTTTTATATTGCACAATATTGCTGGGCTTAAATAGTTTTCTGATACCTCTGATACTAGACAGATATCAGAAAAAATTTTACCTTAGTAGAAGATGCTAGATTACATCCAAAGATAAATATCAGTGGAAAATGAAATGGGAGGAGTTGTTGTCAGGCTATATAATTTTATTGGGTTGCTCTTCTAAAACTGCTGTCTAATCAGTTTCTTTTTTTTAATAGGTATTGGTTTGCTTTGAAATATGGGTACCAAGCTGCATTTAAACTAAAAAGAAGTGGAGATGCTTCAGAAACAGATCCTTCCAACCTCATTAAAAAACAAGCTATTGATGCAGTGACTGATATTAACATGCTCAGGGTGTTCAAGGCTTTTCTTGAGACCACACCACAACTTTTTGTCCAGATTTACATCCTCTTGCAACATGGCAAAACTAATTGCTATCAATGTGAGTCCGTCTTTTTCCTTAATTTGCAAGTAGAGTATCTTACTTAAAAATATAACTCATGTGGTTGGATAACATTTTAAACATACCTCAGAAAACATAAATTGCACAGTATAATTACCTTCATTTAATTAGATTTTCTATCTATTGGATGGTCCATTCTGCTAAACCTATGAGAAGAAAGATTTCACTATAAAAAGTCACTTAGGCAATACCTTTAAGAACCATAGACTGGGCAGGATAGCATAGGCATACCAAAGAGCATCAGATGCCTAGATTTAGGTAACTAAGGTGAGCCTTAAAATTAAGGTGACTTGTTCCAGAGCACAGAGTAAATATAAAATTGTGGTAAAGTGTTAAGAAGCATAAACTTGTCCAAAACTTCATTCAGGTATTATAATGTAAAATAAGCATCTTTTTCTCCAGTTTAACAGTTTTTCCTGTGTTTTGTCTAGATGCTGCCATCATTATGTCTGTTTGTGGTATCTCCTTTTCAATGGTCGATTATCAGATATCATTACGAAAATCTCTGCCTGACAAAGGTGAACTTCGTGTGCCTTCCCAGTTCATGTATCTCTTCTATAAACTGTTTACCATCACTTCTTGGGTACTCAGTATTTCACTGATCACTTTACAAAGTGTTAGAATTTCTGTAATTCTGCTGATATTTCTTTGGATCTGTGGCTTCACTTGGACTTTGAAACAATGTACAACATTTTGCAAATCTAAGAAGATGGAATATCTGTACAGAACTGTAGTTGGAATAATTCTAATTTTTACATTTTTTAACATAAAGGAGAGTAGAACAAAAGTTTTCATTTCTATTTATTATGCTACTCACACTGTAGTAACTTTAAGTATTTTGTTTGTACATATGTTCTGGAAACATTCCATTATCAAGGAAATACATTTTAAAATTGTGAGCATCTTAACTGTCTTACTTTTGGTGTTAGGTATTATTTTTCTTGTTGTTTATTATAGACATTTTCATCCAACTACTTATTACAGACCACAGGCATGTTTAGATGAAGTTGATGGAGTGGCAGGACAAAAAGATAGAGTGAAAATTGGCAGATTTGAAAATTTTTTAATGCCATGAATGGTATAGATCTTTTTTTTGTGCAGACTTCAAAGCAAATACCTGCTGGACACTCTGTTTCTCTGTCATTATTTCTTATGTATCATCACATAAGGGACCAGAATTATTGACTAACTATTTGTTTTCTGTGAAGCTGTACGAAGACTGTAACATGAATACTTATCTGCTGGTGAAAGTTACTTTTGAAAAATAAACTATCTATTTATCCAACACAATCCACTGCTTTAGTTTTTTTTGCAATGCAAATGTAATGTAGGAAAGGTAAAAGTTAATAAAATGAAACCTAGCATTAAAGCCACATTCTATTAATTTATGTTGATTCTGTTAAAAATAAGGCTTGCTGCTTTTTTTTTTTTTTTTTTTTTTCCCTTGCTGGAAGGGAAGAGGAGTGAATTTGAAATAACTGAGGACAATGATCAGTTATCTGCTTTTCCCCATTATTGTAAGAGCTGCAGTTCGTTTTTAAATGCACATAGTAACAAACTGTACTGCCTTCTCCCTAAACATCCTCTAAAGAAGAATAGCTTTGATTTGTGGCTCATTCACTGTTTTGCAACAAGGAAATCTGGGGAGATATTTTCAAGCATTTTATCTTCTAGGTGCATTACTGACTCTTTTACTGGTTGTGTTCTGATAATCTTTCACAGAATCTTTTGTATTTAGGGGTGATGCCAGCTTGTTCTAGATTTGTTTGCTCTGGAACATCCCTTCCTAGGTAAGAGGAAAAAGCCCAAGACTCCACCTTGCCTCTTGCATCATGATTGCCCTAAATTCTGCCTCCTTTATCACAGAGTATTTGCTACCTGTGATGGTGTCCTTGGCAGCAAAATGCTAGCCTGGTTTTAGGCTGAATATACTCTTATTTTGCTATGAAAAAAATGGGATCCTAAAGAGTACAGATGATCCCTATATTGCTTCCCACACTTGTTTTTTCATCTAAAATCCTGAGAAGGGACTAGGGTAAAGAATGGAGGAAAATGGAGAATATTATCTCTGTCTTGAAGAAAATTACAACATTTTTTCTACCCATTATTTGGAAGACCATTATACATTATCTGAGAAGCAGATCTCTGGGGAAATATGGGATCCTGAGAAGTCCTAGTGTGGGCGTTTCAGCCTTGGGTCCTCCAGGTTGTCTGCCTGCTGACAGAAATCTGGAGCCTGAGTTGCTCTGGAGGAAGGTTATTTTCTGGTGAAACAAAATAATTTGTCCTGCTGAACTTTCTTTTTCTCCTTTCAATGCAGTGAGAAATTACAAATAAAAGTATTTCACTGCCATCTCTCTGGCCAACTCCTAACACTCACTTTCTTTCATGGGAGAAAAGATGAATATTATGCTGCCTTCTGTTGTCCTCCTTATGTCTCCTTGCTCCCTCTTCTGTGCCACTGAGAGGAATATTATACTGAAGCTGAGTTGGGAAGAAAGACATCTAGGTGGTTCTTTGTATCACGCTAATTCAAATACCCACTAAACCCAATTGCTTCAGTTTCAATCTGTATTTTATGCTGGAAGTCCTTGTGGATATAGCCATAGCCTAAAACAGTGAAATGATCCTATGCGAAATCATGTGTATTGTTTTCATAAAGCTTAAAGAGATCGTCAGTGTCCTGTCACTATATCTCCATTTTGCTGTAACTCAATGGGCCTCAAGAGATGGGAATTCCTGGTAGCTTGTACCCTGTAGATTTTTATCTACAGGGGAATATTATGAGAATAAAAATGTTTCAACTGTAAAGTCCTCCCTCTCTTCTTGACCTTGAGTTCAAGCTTTTCACTTGATTCCCTTCATTTTCACAGATATGAAAACGGCTTCTCATTCACTTGGTCATTCTAACTCAGCATCGCTGTGGTGGGGTGGACAAGGAAGCACATAAATTGACTTCAGACACATTTCATATCAGCAGTGACCACTTCAGACAAAACAAATAAAGCCCCAGTTCACCTGGGTATAAAGTTCAAACAATAGACTTCATACATATCTTTTCTGTTCCCTGACTACTCTTAAAATGCAGCTGCCACTCAGTTCATGCATTGTGCTTGACCTTGTCATTTTAATTCAACTGCAAATTGAAAACAAATGGGTTTTTCTCTCCTTTTTTTTTTTTTTTTTTGTGTTAAGTATGTCCATTACATCTTACAAGAAGTATTTTAATAAGTGAAATAAAATTAATAAACAATTTCTTCCTGTTTTGACTACTGTCAGACCTGGGTAAGAAGAACAACATTCAACAGAATTGTTTTAATTATCTTACTAATATTCAACGTGCCATTTGATGGCATGGGTGAGCTCACCTGATGTACCACAGATAGCACTGATTTATGAAGCCATAATTGGGTTTCCAATAAACATTTGTCAAAATAATGTATTCATTCAAACCAATGCCTTCTTTATTTATTCATATAAAAGAGCACTTAACTTTCAACAAAGAATTGCCTGCCATCAAAAACACTCCATAAACGGGGGAAATTTATGAAGGTACAGTACCAAAGGGTGATTGGTGGAAGACTAAAGTTCACTTTAACCCTTCAGAGTGCTGAGTTCCACCTCTTGCTTGGTACTGGTACTAGACATATTTCTTACTGAAAGCCCCAAGTTCCAACATTAACCTTTTTATGTTTACACACTGAAGTACCATCTCTTTTTAATACCATAGAGTCTTACACCTCACAGATGGTTTCAAAACTAATGTCTCTCATTTTTGTTATGCACTGTAGAAGCATGCATAGAGTTCAAATGTTTTTAGGCTTACCTACATTCTGCCCACAGGTTTCACCATGTGTGCATTCTTCCAGGAAAATATAAGCTTTGAGAGGTTAAACAACGTATCTTGTCTGAACCTGAAGGAGTACGTGTACTTGTCATTCATTCCAAGAGAAGAATTGTCCTGTTTTACCTCTTCATGCTCTTCTCTAGTTTAATTTTACAGAATTTTAGTAGAAGAATAGCAAAGCAGATGGGCTGTACAATAGATATTTGAATGGAGTGCAGCTAATCCCTTGGAGTCCGTCTTCAACAGAAAAAATTTCTTCTTTTGCCTCAAATTAGCTAACATATAAAAATACAAGTCACACCAAAGATTCTCGCTGTGCAAGTCTTACATTCATTAGCTTAGTAAAATGTAGACCTTGGTGGGATAGGCACTCGTTCAAGCCTGCTAGAACCTGTTGAAAATACAAATTGCATTGGCCTTCCTACGACTGTATGCTGGTTTCCATATGTTTCTATTTTTAGCATACAGTTTTTATTTCTGACAGTGAACACAGATGTAAATAACAGAACATCATCATTGTTATCATTACTTCTAGTGGAACTTTGTTGAAGTGTCTAGGATGACAATATTTAGAGGAAAATCTATCAGTTGCAACTGGAATGCAACAAAAAATTATTAGTAAAGTTCTGTAATGCTTTGTCTGAGAACTTACAAGTGATCTCAAGTCTCTCTGATTCAGCAGAGATATTTTTTAATGGGAGCCTAGAAAAGAGATAGTTAATAATTTTGGTCTGGGAGCAGTAAGCAAACTGCTGAAAATAAAGGGCCAAATGTTACTGGACAGTTCCTGGTTTCTGTGAGAAAGTAAATGACAAAACTACATGTTTGCAAGTCAAAAAGATGAAGGTACAGAGAGGAAGGCATAGTGGGTAGAGGCAATGGGAACTCGTGTTTTTTCCACATAACATACCCACACATTCAGTCTAACCTAAAGTATGTTATGCTGTAGTAGAGTTGAAAGAGACCTCAAACATAATTTTCATCTTTTTTTTCCCAACAGCATGACTTTTAATGACTCACATTCAATGCATTGTAGCACAAATACTTCTGTGCAGAAACTTTGTCTTATCTGTTCTTCCCTCTTTGGGTGTTTTGTTTCCACTGTAAGGCATAAGTTCAGCTGTTTCCTTCTTTAGGGCCTGGTTTCTTTCAGAGATTTCTTTTCATGAATATTCAGCCCATGATTGAAAAAACAGCTCTTCTTCTTCAGTGGCATGGGTTTAGTTATCAGAATTCGTCTATGTGTTCACATAAAAGTTTGAGCAACTTCAGAAAAATGCCATTAGGTTTTTTTAATTCTGCTATGCTTATATTTGAGGTTTCCCAAAAAACTATGTTCTACATGAAGATGTGCATCTTTAGTGAACATTGCATTATTCAACTGACACAAGAAATGCATTTGCCTGCTTGAAGTTATGCTGAGTGGGGATACATGCCACTCCCATGATGGAGACAGTGCTGTTGATAGTTTCGTTAAGCCATCAGGTCATACTGTTTGAATTGGATGAAAAGAGAGTATTTTTGTAATCTGGGCTCTGGAAAATGCTGTCATACAATAGGTACAACGACACAGAAAGGCTACAGGTCTCTTCCATGCAGTTTGGGGCTGTATTTTGCTGGGCTATAGACATTCCTGAACTTAGTCTTAGTCTTTGCCTCCTGTCAGTTGCTTTTGTCAGCAGAAAACAGTACCTCACATAACTCTGTGCTGTTCTGTCACATTCACTAGTGTGTGGCAGTGTTACCTGAGTAGTACTGGTACCCTGATGTGTAGGTTGGCATTTACCTCAGATTTCTGTCATACACAATTAATTCAAATTGCATGTTAAGTTGTATAAGGTTCTCTATGACAAACAGAGAAAAAAAATTCACACCTGAGGGACTGCCATCCTGTCTACCCTGCCACCTATTTAGAATGTGGTAAATATTCCTTTAGGAGATGCCCTTTCCTTTTGACTACAGCAAAAATGTCAGCAGGGTGCATTTTAGGTAGGTAGAACTAAGTTTATGTAACTGGCCCTTTGCCTAGTAAATCTATCATATGTAGTAGAAACCCAGTAAATTATCTGTAAGAATCTTTCCTCAGGTTGTTTGTGTAGGGAACAAAGGGATGTTAGTTGGCTATTTCAACCACTGAATGCTAAAACTGAATGGTAGGAATGCATCTTCTCTATCCTATAGACATGGACTGCTCTGAGGTGTTGTAAGCCTTTGAATCTCATTTGCTTCTTCTGCATAAAGGCTTACATTTAGCATTTCAGATTACCTTATTAAAGACTTTGGACCACTTCTGAACAGCATGTTGAAATGAGTAACCTTTCTCCGAAACTTAGTATTAACTTAGTATTAATATCCTCTGTGCAGAAAACAATCATCTCAAGTGCATGAAAGATAAATGCATTATCAACTTGT